AGCAAAAGCAGTTCTAAGAGGGAAGTTTATAGCAATACAATCCTACCCCAAGAAACAAGAAACATCTCAAATAAACAACCTAACCTTACACCTAAAGCAATTAGAGAAAGAAGAACAAAAAAACCCCAAAGTTAGCAGAAGGAAAGAAATCATAAAGATCAGATCAGAAATAAAAAAGAAATGAAGAAAACAATAGCAAAGATCAGTAAAACATAAACCTGGTTCTTTGAGAAGATAAACAAAATTGATAAACCATTAGCCAGATTCATCAAGAAAACAAAAGAAAAAGACTCAAATCAACAGAATTAGAAATGAAAAAAGAGAATTAACAACTGACACTGCAGAAATACAAAGGATCATGAGATATCACTACAAGCAACTATATGCCCATAAAATGGACAACCTGGAAGAAATGGACAAATTCTTAGAAAAGCACAGCCTTCTGAGATGGAGCCAGGAAGAAATAGAAAATATAAACAAACCAATCAGAAGCACTGAAATTGAAACGGTGATTAAAAGTCTTCCAACAAACAAAAGCCCAGGACCAGATGGCTTCACAGGCAAATTCTATCAAACATTTAGAGAAGAGCTAACACCTATGCTTCTCAAATAGTAGAAGGAGGAACACTCTTCTTTTTTTTTTTTTCTCGCAGTACACGGGCCTCTCACTGTTGTGACCTCTCCCACTGTGGAGCACAGGCTCCGGACACGCAGGCTCAGCGGCCATGGCTCACGGGCCCAGCCGCTCCGCGGCATGTGGGATCTTCCCAGACCGGGACACGAACCCATGTCCCCTGCATCAGCAGGTGGACGCTCAACCACTGCGCCACCAGGGAAGCCCAGGAGGAACACTCTTAAACTCATCCTATAAGGCCACCATCACCCTGATACCGAAACTAGACAAAGATACTACAAAAAAAGAAAACTACAGGTCAGTATCACTGATGAACATAGATGCAAAAATCCTCAACAAAATACTAGGAAACAGAATCCAACAGCATGTTAAAAGGATCATACACCATGATCAAGTGGGGTTTATCCCAGGAATGCAGGGATTCTTCAATATATGCAAATGAATCTGTGATACACCATATTAACAAACTGAAATATAAAAACCATATGATAATCTCAATAGATGCAGAAAAAGCTTTTGACAAAATTCAACACCGATTTATGATAAAAAAAAAAAAACCTCCAGACAGTAGGCAGAGAGGGAACTTACCTCAACATAATAAAGGCCATATATGACAAACCCACAGCCAGCATCATTCTCAGTGGTGAAATAATGAAACCATTTCCACTACAGTCAGGAACAAGACAAGGTTGCCCACTCTCTCTGCTATTATTCAACATAGTTTTGGAAGTTTTAGCCAGAGCAATCAGAGAAGAAAAAGGAATCCAAACTGGAAAAGAAGTAAAACTGTCACTCTTTGCAGATGACATGATACTAAACATAGAGAATCCTAAAGTTGCTACCAGAAAACTACTAGACCTAATCAGTGAATTTGGTAAAGTAGCAGGATACAAAATTAATGCACAGAAATCTCTTGCATTCCTATACACTAATGATGAAAAATCTGAAAGAGAAATTAAGGAAACACTACCATTTACCATTGCAACAAAAGGAATAAAATACCTAGGAATAAACCTAACTAAGGAGGCAAAAGACCTGTATGCAGAAAACTATAAAAAACTTATGAAAGAAATTAAAGATGATACAAACAGATGGAGAGATATACCATGTTCCTGGATTGGAATAGTCAACATTGTGAAAATGACTATACTACCCAAAGCAATCTACAGATTCAGTGCAATCCCTATCAACTACCAGTGGCGTTTTTCACAGAACTAGAACAAAAGGTTCACAATTTGTATGGAAACAGAAGAGACCCCGAATAGCCAAAGCAATTTTGAGAAAGAAAAACAGAGCTGGAGGAATCAGGCTCCCTGACTTCACACTATACCACAAAGCTTCAGTAATCAAAACAGTATGGTACCTGCACAGAAACAGAAATATAGATCAATGGTACAGGATAGAAAGCCCAGAGATAAAACCACACACATATGGTCACCTTATCTTTGATAAAGGAGGCAAGAACATAAAATGTAGAAAATACAGCCTCTTCAGTAAGTGGTGCTGGGAAAACTGGACAGCTACATGTAAAAGAATGAAATTAGAACACTCCCTAAAACCATACACAAAAATAAACTCAAAATGGATTAAAGGCCTAAATGTAAGGCCAGACACTATAAAACTCTTAGAGGAAAACAGAGGCAGAAAACTCTATGACATAAATCACAGCAAGATCCTTTTTGACCCACCTCCTCGAGAAGTGGAAATAAAAACAAATATAAACAAATGGGAACTAATGAAACTTAAAAGCTTTTGCACAGCAAAGGAAACCATAAACAAGATGAAAAGACAGCTCTCAGAATGGGAGAAAATATTTGCAAGCAAAGCAACTGACAAAGGGTTAATCTCCAAAATATACAACAGCTCATGCAGCTCAATATCAAGAAAACAAACAAACCAATCCAAAAATGGGCAGAAAACCTTAATAGACATTTCTCCAAAGAAGATATACAGATTGTCATCAAACACATGAAAGGATGGTCAACATCACTAATCATTAGAGAAATGCAAATCAAAACTACAATGAGGTATCACCTCACTCCAGTCAGAATGGCCATCATGAAAAAAATCTAGAAACAATAAAATCTGGAGAGGGTGTAGAGAAAAGGGAACCCTCTTTCACTGTTGGTGGGAATGTAAATTGATACAACTACTATGGAGAACAGTATGGAGGTTCCTTAAAAAGCTAAAAATAGAACTACCATATGACCCAGCAATCCCACTACGGGGCATATACCCTGAGCAAACCATAGTTCAAAAAGAGTCATGTACCACAATTTTCATTGAAGCAGTATTTACAATAGCCAAGACATGGAAACAACCTAAGTGTCCATCGACAGATGAATGGATAAAGAAGATGTGGCACATGTATACAATGGAATATTACTCAGCCATAAAAAGAAACGAAATTGAGTTATTTGTAGTGAGGGGGATGGACCTAGAGACTGTCATACAGAGTGAAGTAAGTTAGAAAAAAAAATACCATATGCTAACACATATATATGGAATCTAAAAAAAATGAAAAAAAGAAATGGTTCTGAAGAATGTAAGTGCAGGACAGGAATAAGATACAGATGTAGAGAATGGACATGGGGAGCGGGTAGGGTAAACTGGGACAAAGTGAGAGAGTGACATAGACATATATACACTACCAAATGTAAAATAGATAGCTAATGGGAAGCAGTTGCATAGCACAGGGAGATCAGCTCGGTGCTTTGTGTCCACCTAGAGGGGTGGGATAGGGAGGGACGGAGGGAAACGCAAGAGGGAGAGATATGGGGATATATGTATATGTATAGCTGATTCACTTTGTTATAAAGCAGAAACTAACACACCATTGTAAAGCAATTATACTCTAATAAAGATGTTAAAAAATGCAAAAAAAAGAGAAAAGGAACAATTACGTTCAAATCACTATTTAACTTCTAGGAAAATCTTTCCATCATACAGTGAATTATGCCTTTAGAACACATCTCAGTTGCATATCTCAGCCCACGTTGGACAAATACTAAAGCCTCTGTGGGCAGCTTTAAGTATATTTGCCTGTAGTTTGTGTATCAACTTTAACTCCTTCTCCTCTCCCCATGGACAGCCCATAAATGATAGTTGAGATTTTTTTCTACTTCTCTTAACCCTCTTAAAAAAAAAAAGAGAAAAGAAAAAAAAAAAAAACCTGCTAAGTTTGAGAACTGTGAGAATTTTCCTGATATTTTATAACAAGATGAAAACATATTTGTCAGACTCCCAAAACTCTTTGGGAGTTTGGGGTTAGCTGATGCAAACTATTATATATAGAATGGATAGACAGCAAGGTCCTACTGTATAGCACAGGGAACTATATTCAGTATCCTGTGATAAACGATAATGGAAAAGAATATTAAAAAATAATGTATATATGTATAACTGAATCAATTTGCAGTACAGCATAAATTAACACAACACTGTAAATTAACTATACTTCAATTTAATAAACAATATTTGTCAGAATTCCAGAGAAAGTGCTTTTCCCAGACAGTTGAGGCAAGAAAGTAGACACTATTTTGGTATTACTCAGGGTCCTTTGGTTGAAGCTCTGCTGACGTAAGTAAAAAAGAAATATATGGGGTAGCTGAGAGAATTGAAGAGAAAAGGCTTTAGAAAGGAAAGGAACAAGAGCACCTAAGAGGCAGTTTCTTGAGGGTGCAGCTATTCAAACACTGGAAGATGATGGCTGATTGGCCCAGCTTACATCCTGAGGCTTTTCTACCAGGGACTCCAGGACACCTTGATTGACAGTTTGCCCAAAATGGCATGTGTGTGAGAAGGGAAATAGAGGCACTATTAACAAAAGAAAGAGGTATGGAGAATAAGAAGTCAAAACAGGTATGAAGGACTCTACAACTAATCCTGGGCTCCATACGGGATGGAGAGTGTCACATGGCAGGAATACAGGCTTTGGGAAGGCAGCAAATGACAGCTAGAAGAGAATCTGAGAAAGAAAATGTAAATGAGCAAGGGAGGGGTTGTGTAGGCAGTAGTAGGATGGCACCAAAACGTACAATGTGGTTTTTTTCCTCAGATCCCACGAATCTTCAGGAACACTCCTCAAATCATGATATAATTATAATTACATCATAATTACTAGGTTTGAATTTCTTGCAGAAGTCAAAAAGATGCAATTCTCTGAAGGTGTGGTGCAGAGTGTAAACATCCAATGATGATTCAGAGGGGAAATTCAAAGGATTCCTAGAGAAATACAGTTGGGACTGTGCAGAGACTGTGAATATGATGAGAAGTGATTAAATGAGTTACATATGCCTTCCAGTGACGAGGAGGAACAGCCTGTATTTGGATGACTCTTCATTCTTAACTTTATAATTGTTTCCAGGTAGGAAGAGGTCCAGAGCCATCCAAGTGAGTCCAGATCCAGAACCAATTGTCCAGGTACTCAGCCTGAAAGCAGTGTTCACACAGGAACAATCATGTTTAAATTAACATCAAGAACACCTTTGAAAGAATGTGAGCAATATTTGGCATTAGAAGGGAGCCTCTTGAGTTTCACTTTGATAGTAGTGTATAAGGTCTGAATAGATGTTATGTGTTTGTTACTGACTTGGGTCTTAGATTCTTTAATCAATAGAAATTGGTAAGAGGCCAGATAAGGAATTCAGGCAAAGCTTTATTGGGACTCATGCTGCAGCATGAGGGAGCAAAAACAAATAGTTTCCCTTGCTCACTGCCGGAGGAGGACGGCTGGTTCCTTAAATGGGGTGGGGGTAGGGGAGGATGGGTGGGTCGGGCTGGAGGGGTAGCTTAGGTGATCTGTCCACCCCCTTGGTGGTGCTGTGTGCAGGGATCATGCACCGTATCCTGCTTCTGCTCCCAGCACCTCAAAAGTGGCAGTTGGTTTGCGGTCTTTTTGTGTCTTATTATTCATATGCATGCAGTTGCTTTTAGTCTCTTATAGTTTCTTTGTAGTCTGTTGCTCGGGGAGACATTTGTTTAGGTGCAAGTGCTCCAGTAAAGGATCCCAGGTCCTAGCCTGTCTCGTGTTCAAAACTCTGTTCTTTGTGAACACAAGTTAATGGGGACCCTTCTGCCTGCTGTCTGTCCAGTCATCACCATCATGCCCCTCCATCCTCAGTTTTATTTTATCTTTTTTTTTTTTTTTTTTTTTTTTTTTTCTTTACGCAGGCCTCTCACTGTTGTGGCCTCTCCCGTTGTGGAGCACAGGCTCCGGATACACAGGCTCAGCGGCCATGGCTCACGGGCCCAGCCACTCGCGGCATGTGGGATCTTCCCGGACCGGGGCACGAACCCATATCCCCTGCATCAGCAGGCGGACTTTTAACCACTGCGCCACCACGGAAGCCCCATCCTCAGTTTTAAGGATATGGTGATAGCCCTGAGTTATTATACCCTAAACAAAATTCTGTTTATCCCCATTATATTTGTGTGGAGTATATGAATTTTCCTTCAGCTAGTACTTGGGACACTAGACGAGGTATTTACCATGGGCATTATCTGCTTTTCTAATAGACATGTAATAAATTACTGAAAAGTGTTGCTGAGGGAACCTCTTGGCTCTCCATTTCTGGAAACCATAGGTAGACAACTTTCCATTTTGACAGGTTTCAGACACTAAGATCCAACCTTTTAGACTGTAGATACCTTCACTATTTACTTTATTTTATTATACCAAAGCATCCTGCTAAGAGCATGTTAAGGCATATTGCTTTAAACTTAAATTGGAGTATTTTAAAAGTCCCCTTGTGATTCCCTCAATTAAATGTAAGATGTCACAAAAATAAATGAAAATTACTGGTCTGGGGCATTCACTTGGATGAACCAAACAAATGATTCAAGTCTCTTTTTAGTTCCATCATTCTATTAAATGTCAGTGTCAATATTAAGCTCCTATGTTGATTTGAGGTGTATGAGTCTTGGCATTTAGAAAACAAAGGTTGAATAGTTATATTGGATCTATGGGATGAAGAGAAAAACATCCTGATTGGTTACTAGGAAAATGACAAGATCATTTGAAAGTCTTAAGCACTATTTTTAGTGGCCTGGTACCCAGGTTTTCATCCAGTCGTGAACATCCACCAGTGTTTACCTAGACACAAGTTTTTCCAGAACCATTAAATGGTGCCTGATTATAACAAATTGTTCTCTTGGCTTAAACAAATTATTTTTCTAAGGCATTTAACCATATCTTTACATGAAACCTGCAGTTGTATATAAAAGTTGTTTCATATTTTCAAAAACACTGAAACTTGCTGGATACTATGTGTCCTAATAATAAAACATAAACCATAAACCAACCAAGGAAGACAGTACTATTTTCTGATGAGTTTTTGAAAGCCCAAATGAATTGTTCATAGAGGCAGCAAGATTTGGAAAAGAACATGCTCCACCTCTTCTTATTCCAAATCTATTTCACTTAGTTACGTCCATCTTGATTCTTAGTCTAGCTAGGAAGAAAAATCTTGGTCCAAGGTTGTACCAATTTATGTGCTGCAGCTAACAGACTAATAATTTGCCACTCCTTCAAATCTATATTTCTTAAATATTATTTTAATATTTATTTGAAGGTTTTGGGGGGGAAGGTGGGATTGGGGGCAGGCTCAGTCCTCCCTCAGTTTCCCTAGGCAATTCAATTCCAGCCCAAACTTGCATACCCCACTCAGCAAAGGACACCCATTTTGCTTTGCATTAAAGTCAATTGCTCACCATCTACTGTTATTCAGGCATACTCTTGGATATAGACTTGATGTTAAAAAAAAAAGCAGAACCCAATAAGATACAAAAAGAAAACAATGTTATTTTTTTCCTCAAGTTCCCTTAAATCCTCTCTGTGCACTAGTTCTTTCCCTGTCAGTGGATGAAATCCTGGCTTTTATGTTCACTTGTAGATAATGTTTTAAAACTCCTCCGGGAACTTCTAGTCACAGCACAATATCAGTTATTAAAATGTTCATTCCAATATGGTAGTCAAAACTACAAACTTTAATCCAATGGAAATCTTCTCTCTTCCTCTGTATTAGGCTACTTCTAGCTGAAAGCCTATGGTGGTAAAATGGATGCACAGTCAGCCTCTTTATTCTCTGACTTGTACTTCTGTTAGAGCACTCCATTTCCATTCGCCTGACTGACTTCTTCTCTGGGGGTGGGGTTAGACAGAAACGGTAGGTAGTAGGACAGGCCTGTCTTGGTGCTGTTGTAATAAGGTATTGGGTGTTCTCTGGGCTTATTGCATGTTCAAGGCTGACTTTTTCCCTATCGGGGGTTTTTAATTTTTTTTTTTTTTTGATATTTACCAACTGGAAATATCCAACTGCATTTCATGTAATTTGGAGATCAATCTCTTTCCGCTTGCATCTCATGATTCCTGGTCATTTGCACGTAGTTGATCTCCACTGTTGGGAATGTCATCCATCCTCCAGGCTGTCTTTTCAGGCAAAATCCAAAGCACTTCCCAAAGCAGCCTTCTTTTATCTGTCATACCAAGGCACACTTGGGTCAGCTTCACTTCAGCACCGTGACAGCCTTGTTCTCCACATAGGCCACATAGGAAAGGCTTGATCACAGTGTTATCCAAGTCTTGGCTGAATGCCCTGTGATTCCCAAAACAACGGGAGATAAGCAGCCATGTGAAGAGCTGTCCAGCGCAGTTTCTCATCTGCCTTCTATCTTGTGAGAAACTGCCATGAGACCATTTCTCATCCATCTCCCTGATTTTAGCCAAGCACAGGGCTTTCCACCCACTTCTCCCCTCCCTCCTTAGGGTACAGATATAGGCTTCTGTGTGAGTCTATAACACTGCTTGGCTGTAGTTCAGGATTGGCTCCTTGACATCAGACTGGCCACTACCCACATCACCCTTCTTATTTGGTATCATCTCCACCCCTGTCCTGTGGGAGAGAGACATGGAGAACTGACACCCTGGTGACCTTGAATTTGCTACATAATAAGAATCTACCTGAATCCACTTGGGCTCACTGTCACTTTACCAGCCAAATCTCTGGAAGTGTGGCTAGCCAACCGAGTGGTTTCCATAGCGACCCTTAGGACTTTTATCCACCTGCTGCTACCCAGAGACTGCTTAACTGCTTGACAGTAGCAAGCCAGCCACAGTCTCTCACTTTTATACTTTTCCAGTCTCTGTTCCTTGCAAACTTTAGGGATATAAGTCAAACTTTTTAAGTAGTTTTCCTGACATTCTTCTTCCTGAGGTAGAGGAGTAGGACACCCTACCACTCCAGCATTACTGAAGATGGGGCCATAATACTCCAACAACTTTCTCCCCAAAGCACTCCCCTCCCCAGCATCTTCAACCCAAACCTGTTTATGTCCTCAAATGTTTGCCTAAGTCTGCAAAATTGGTCAACCTTCTTTGTATGCTGTTTAGCACTTTATTTTGGACTGTGAGCACAGCTTGACACCTATAACCTATTGTTTTATTCTCAGTTTAAATGAAGACAGAAAGAATTCTAAGCCAACTCTTTGGCTTTGACATCAATCCTACATAACATATGCAAATTATTCCTTCTAATAGCAGAATAACCAAAAGAAATTTTGCTTGAAAACAAAATCATGTTTATCCATTTTGTTACATTATTACTGATGCTTTACCACCCTTTACAGATTTCAACTCTTGGTAATGTCCTAACTGGCCACCACTTAATCTGGCTCTGGCACCAACCATTGAAAAGGTTAAATTCTAGGAGCCATGTTTTGTTCTAGGCCACCAAGCAGGCAGATTTAATTTAGAGAATGTTGAGTGTCTAATGATCACTTTTCAGTTCCTGTGAAGGTAAGGGTTAACTTCTGAGCACATTAATCTCAATCACAAAGTTGTTGAATTTATAACCCTCTTGTTTGCCTTAATTAAATAACTGCAAAACCCAGAAATTACACAAGCTTTTTAAGAGCTTGAAGCCCTGGGTGCTTTCATATACCTTATTTTTCTCTAGCTAAATGTAGCTGCAGCAAAGCCTCTGAAGTATGGCTGTCCCTGGGAAAAAAGCGTGAAATAGCTACTTTGATATCAGCACCTCTGGGGCCCCCTTTTGTTGCCTTCTCTCCCCTCAGGAGCACTTAATACTCTTTTTTATTATTATTATTAAGGTATAAATGACATATAACATTATATTAGTTTTACATGTACAACATAATGATTCAAGATATATGTATGTATATATTGTATATATATATGTGTGTGTATATATATATATATAGCTAAATGGTCACCACAGTAAGCCTAGTTACCATCCATCACCATACAAAGTTACAAACAAACATATTTTCCTTGTGATGAGAACTTTTAAGACATCAATTTTCAAATATGCAATATACAATACTGTATTATTGACTATAGTCACCATGCTGTATATTACATCTTCATGATTTATTTATTTTATAACTGTAAGTTTGTACCTCTTGACCTCCTTCCCCTATTTCTCCCACCCTCCAACACCCCCATCCCCCTGACAACCACCATTCTGTTTTCTGTGTCTGTGAGTTTTGTTTTGTTTTGTTTGTTCATTTGTTTTGTTTTTTAGATCCCACATATAAATGAGATCATATGGTATTTGTCTTTCTCTGTCTGACTTATTTCATTTAGCATAATACCCTCAAGGTACATCCATGTTGTCGCAAATGACAACATTTCATTCTCTTTTGTGGCTAATATTCCATTTATCCATTTCTTTGTCCATTCATCCATCAGTTGACACT